GTATCCCTACATTTTTCTAATATTGGAAACTCCGGACAGTCGGTATTGAGACAAGTTTGGGTCCATTTTAGATTGGTGTACAATTCTTTATTTGAATAATTAATTGTATAATTTTTTAATGACAGAACGTTGTCTATATCAGTCAGTATTTTTCTGAAGCGCTCCAGATATTTAGTATTCTAACAATTTTAGCCCAAAACCAATGGACAAAAGCGTATAAAATTTGGCCTTTAATGTTCACAATTGATACCGATGATTACTTCAGACAGTTATCTACCTAGGTCTACGTTGCCTTACACTGCCCAATGATTGCACTTATTAAGGAGGTGTAAATAAGTTTTTTCCTTCCGTTTCTAACTTTTCGAAATACTCATATCAGTCCCTACAAAGATTATATAGTCTTGATCAATGTAAAATTCAATGTAAAAATTAATCGCGCTATCCTTCGGAAAGAATTGAGACAATAGCTTAAATTGTGCAAGCATTTGTCAGCAGGCAGGAATCCTTCAAAATTTGGTATGTATATTTTTTAATGAATTTTATCTCCTGTGCAGTAGGTTGCTTGAATAGCTTCCGAGCATTTGATATTTTAACCAAAATTTTCAAGATAATTGGCTATGTAATTTCCCATGTTGGCGCAGCCCCTAACTTTATGGTATTTTTAAACACTTTTGCTGCAACAAAAGTCCTTATGTAATCTGCAACCGATTTCATTTGCAAAATTAGACTAACTCGAAAGTCAAATCGCAATACTTTTTAACACTCTTGCTGCAAGCAAAAAAGTCATGTAATCTGAAACATATTTCACCTCCAAAATTAGACTAACTCCAATGTTAAATCCCAATAATTTTATTTTTATTGGGTTTCTTTAGTTCAAGTCGTTTTACTTGCTCAAGGTAGTTTATTTTTTAAGGAAAACTAAAATTAAACGGTGTTGGCATGTTTTTTCGGGATATCATAGTATTTTGTTGTTATATATTCATGACCATCATAAGTCGATTTAACAATATCCGTCTGTTTGTTGAAATCACGATACAGCGAATATTATTTGACGTAGAACTTCAAAACGTTGCAGAACAACATTTTGTTTGTATTGAAAATGAGATAAATCGGTCCACGTTTTGGTATAGCCGCCATGTAACGGTACCTCCCAATATTCGGTATTTTGATGATTTTCAACATATTTTCCCACTGATTTGTCTAAAAATTGGTATATGTGGGTCATAATGGATTCTAGTTTCACTGGCGGAGCATTGAATGTATAGGTCCACTTTTTTTTCGGTGATTTTTGACACTTATTCCCACGGATTTGTCTAAAAATTAGAATTTGTAGTGTTTAATGGGTTCAAGCTCCTATGGCGGAACATAATGGTACCTCCCGATATTCCATATTTTGATGATTTTGCCACATTTTTCCACGAATTTGCCTAAAAATTGGTATTTAAAGGTCTAGCTTCTGTGGCGGAACTTTGTATGTTTGGGTACACGTTTTCGTATAGCCCCCTAAAACGGTACCTCCCGATATTGGGTATTTTCATGATTTTTGCCAAATTTTTCCACGGATCTGTAAAAAAATATATAAATGAAATAACTATTTCTCGAATTACTCTCTCTTTTGCAGAACTTTTGTGATAACAGACGACTTCCATTAAAAATTTTCAACCAATATTACAAAATTTAGGGAAACCGACACACCTAATAACCGAGTTAGGATGACGACCGATAGATGGTTGTGACATTCACAGCGACTACGGTGCAGAAATATACACGTTATAGTAGAGGGAACGTCAGAAACCTCATTTATCTTCATAACTGCCGTACATTACTCTTTAAGGCAAAGGGAACGTTGAAGTCCTCTTTACTATCAAAAGAACATGCACACTCTACAAATTCTAGAGCCTGTGCGAGGTGTATGTATTTTTAATTGAAACAAAGGCACATTTATATAAAAATTAACAAAACTTATATTTGGTTTTGAAAGAAATACAAGAACTAAAAAATCATAATTTAAAAAAAGTATTTTTTTGGCAATTTAAAATTCAAAGAAGACGTGATGTAAGTTTACAAGTACAAACATTGTAAAGTGTGCACCTACAAGCCTAAGAAATGTAAGAAACCCACTTAACTCTAAGGACAATACAAAATACTCTTAGAAGTAAAGGGAACGTTAAAAAACCCTTTTTACATTGAAGAGATTACGCACACTCCACAAATTTTAGTGCCTACGGAACGTTAGAAAACCCACTTGACTCTAACGACGACATGAAATACTCTTAGAAATAAGGGAAACGTTGAAAACCCCTCTTAACTCAAGAGTCGTCGACTGACGACAGACCTCAAGTAATTCTACGGTAACTCCTTTCATACTGTCCGGAGATTTTGAAGCAGCCTGCTTTTGTTTGTAAAAACATTTTAATTTAGTTCTGCTATTCGACTCTAAGTGATTTCAATGTTACTCACTTGCATGGTTGTCCATATTCGACGGACCTTTGGGCCCATTCCGCAGGCAACATTCTTTGCGTCAATTGTATGGGGACCTCTCAACACTGGCTCGTACGGCAGCGATATTCTCGGCCGATCGCCTTGGTCGACTTTTATATGGCCTCTTCGGATTAGAAAGAGCCTTACCAGTCGAAATTTTTTCGTATAAACGCTTAATGGTGTTTTAAAAGCACGTTGAGTTTTCACAATTGACTTCTTCTGTTGAATGTACATTTCAGAGCGCTCGCGTGTTATGTATTGGTTCATGATAAAAATCTGCTTGGACTGACGCTTCAAACGCGGTATGTCATTAAGCGATGTGACATGTCTGTCAAAAGTTATGGCGCTGCCAGATGGGTCCGTCGAATATGGGCAACCCATATTCTTGCAGGGATAAAACGCGGTTGTTATTTATTATACCCTTCACCTTGGAAAGGAGGGTATATTAACTTTGTCATTCCGTTTGTTACATCCCTAAATAGATACCGTAGATACCGTAAAGAATATATATTCATAATCAGCATAAAATTCTAAGTCGATTTAACGATTTCCCTCTGTAGGTCTGTCCGTCTGTCTGTCGGTTGAAGTCATGATACAGCCCACATTATTTGACGTAGATGTCTAGGATGGTTGGTATTGAAAATGAGATGTATCGGTCCATGTTTTGGTATAACCGCTATATAACAGTACCACCGATATTCAGTATTTTAATGATTTCACCACATTTTTTCAACGGATTTCTCTACAAATTGGTATATGTAGGTCATAATGGGTTCTAGTTTCACAGGCGGAACATTGCACATATGGGTCCACGTTTTGGTATAGACCCCATATAACAGTAATTCCCGGTATTTTATATTTTGATGATTTTTGCTACATTTTTCCATGGATTTGTCTAAAAATTAGTATTTGTGGGTCATAATAGGTTCTAGACCGTGTGGCGAAAATTTGTATTTTTTGTTCAGCCCCTATATATCGGTACCTCCCGATATTCGGTATTTTCCTGATTTTTCACGGATTTGTCTAAAAATGGGTTCAAGCTCCGGTGGCGGAACATTTTATTCATTGGTCCAGGTTTTCGTATAGCCCCCATATAACTATACCTCCCGATGTTGGTTATTTTCATAATTTTTGCCACATTTTTTCACCGAGTTGTCTTAAAATTGGTATTTGTAGGTCATAATAGGTTCTGGCTCGTGTGGTGAAAAATTGTATGTATAGGTACACGTTTTGGTATAGCCCCCATATAATATATATATGATTTTCGCCACATTTTTCCATGGGTTTGTCTAAAAATTGGTATATGTAAATCATAAAGTGTTGTAGTTCCTGTGGCGAAACATGGTATTTGTAGGTCGATATTTTCGTATAGCCCCCATATAGCGGTACCCTCCGATATTAGTTATTTTCATGAATTTTGGCGCACTATTCAATGGAATTGTCTGAAAATACACTATTCATACACAATTAATACACAATACACAATTCTTCTGAGAAATTTAACCTCAAAAAGAGTATTCTCCATATAGGTCTACAAAATTATTCAGCGGATTTGTTTCAAATATCGCATTTGAAGTTCACTATGGGTACTGCAGCCTATGGCGGAAAATTGTATATGTAGGTCCACATCTTTACAGCCCACATATAACGGCACCTCGCTTCATTTGGTATTTTGATGATATTAGCGGCATTATTCACCGGAATTGTTTCCAGTTTGATGTTATTAGAGAAATTTTTTACCGGAATTGTTTCAAATTTCGTATTTAAAGTTCGTAATGGGTACTACCACATCTTTGTATAGCCCCCATATAACGATTTTCTTTTGAGCGGATTTTTTCAAGTTCCTTTAAAATAGTGGAGGGTATTAAAAGTTTGGCCTGGCCGAACTGAGCTGTTGCAGCTTGTTGCATTTTCTTTGGAAAACTCCTCTAAGTATATTATTTAGGCCGAATGACTATATACGATAAAAGCTCTTTTAAACATTAAATATAAGGAACCGTTTTGGACGTATTACTGGAAAAATATATAAATATAAATGAAATATGATTTGGGCAAAGCAATTTTGACACCTGAAAATTGTATTAGTTTTTATTTCCTTGTAAATGAGTGTCTAATTTATACAAATTTGAATTTTTACGCATCATATCTTAGGTGACAATATTCTGAATTTTTAAGCCATAAATTGTGAAATTTTAAAAAACAAATAAAAAAATATTTTTTTAAAGTGCGTAATGTAATATACGAAAACAATTCACTAGACTCCAATTGAAATTAAGCTTTGGATTTTTTTTTTCGGTGCAAAAGAATTCACGTATGTTAAAATCTACATCATTCTGCTTTATACATTTTATATAGTACAAGTCTAAGTAGTCCCTGCATCAAAAACATCGTATATCTCTCCTAGAACTCGGTCATAGTAAAGGTTTTCGTTCTTGCATGTTCTAGGACAGAACAAAATGCACGTGGGTGGAACAAGTAAAGTGATTTTAAATTAAACATTTTATGCAATACTAACTTACCTGATGTAGAGCAATGAAATCTTTAAGGTCGCGCCATTTGCTTTCGTACAGGGATCGTCTGGAATACATGCGCTGTATAATGGCAGTAACATTTCCAAATACAACAGCATGCATTAAAGCTAGTAAATGGAAGAAAAAACAGCAAATAAATGAACTATGAATACCACAGCTGAAAATGTTGTATTTTAAAACATATAATTTTGTTCTGAATACATGTTTTCACGCCTCTACTTTGAGAACTATTAAATGCAATAATTTGGGGTATATTTTTTTTGATTATTTCAATTTATTGAAGTTGTATTCACAAACCGCAAGACGCAAAAATCTTATATTAAGGTGTGTGATATTTTAATGAATATTTTACAAGTTTGGGAACACAAAAATGCTTAAATTAATTTGCCATTAATTGATAAATCAGCAACAGGCAACGCTTATTTTTATGAATAACACAACAGTATGTATCACAATAAAAGAATAATACAATATAGGAACATAGTTTAAGTATTGATAAAATCAGTGGAAAGACAAAGAGGTGTTTCAATTGAATTGGGTGATGAGTTTTCTGGCTTGATTTTGATTATATTTTTATTTGATTATATTCTCTAGAAGTCGCTATTAACCTTCACAATATCGTCGGGCAATATTTAAAAAAGTACAATTATAGCACAGGGTGAAATAAAAAAGCTGCAACCAACTTCTGGTTGCTGTCATTTCTAAGCCACTCGTCCGACATCTGTTAAAATTATTTCAGTAATAGCTCAATATTTTGTAAGAATTTTCCAGAAAAAAGTTCACAGTAATGGAATTCAAGCGTGATTGTGTGATTTCTTTATATTTGACTGGAAAACCACAAGTGGCTATCGTTACAGCACTCCAGCATTTAAATGTAAATAAATGTTTTGAGTCCCGTACCATCACCCGTTACCGTGATACTGGTAGCGTAGCCCGACGTCAAGGAAGTGGACGGAAAAAACAGCAACATCAGCAGAAATGGTTCGAAAAAAAGAAGCGATTTGATCGAAATCCGCGTCGCAGTGGCCAAAAAATGGCTAGTGAGCTAAACATATCGCAATATTCCATTGTCGCTCTCCGCTTGTATAGGACTCACCACCATCGCACCAAGCACGCGCCACCCAAGAATGGTTACAAAATGAGTTTCTTCGCTTCATTTGCAGCGGACAATGGCCACCAAAATCTCCGGATACCAATCCGTTGGACTATTATGTCCGGAGTATTTTGAAAAGCAAGGTTGGCACTAAAAATACCAAAGTGTCGATCACCTCAAGCAAGTGCTTCGCCGGGAATGGGCCAAAATACAGCAGAGCAACATTCGGTCAGCGTGTGACGGTTTCTTTGGCCGTTTGAAGCCACAATTCGTGCCATAGGTGACCAATTCGAACAAATCTAAACTTATTCTAAAATTTGATGGTATTTCCGACATTTCTTGCTTTCATTCAATAAAATTAAAAAGTGAAAAGTGAAAACTTCACTGCAAATTTCAGATCATTAAGTTCGTCTCGAAAGAGAAAATTATTGTGTTTAACTTTGTTGTAGTTTTTTATCTAACCCTGTAGACTTGGATGTCGTCATGTACATGTGCCTGCGCTGCTGTGAAAGTTCATTTAAACTGGTATTGACGATTAGCAGCAATAGGAGAAAAGTTTATGTCTCAGAACATTATGGTTAACAATTAAAAAGTACAATGAGAGTAGACCTGGACGTCATCAGCTACTTGTGGATGTGCTGCTGTGAAAGCTAATTTAAATAATAGAAAAACTTCGTAGGCAGAAAAGTAAGAGTTATTTTTTAAGATACTTCCTGTGGTCGCTGTAGGTTTTATAAATAGGACCCATATGACAGAAGAATATTTCAGAATTGGGCGAACAAAATCCCTTGCTCCCGTTTCACAAAATCAAGAAAGACAAATTATTTTCCTTTGTTTATAGAAACAGAAGTAAGGGAATTACCTTAAATTTACACTATGACTCCAAGATCAACAAAGGTTTTAACTTTTTACAGATTGAAATAAGTTCGTTTTAGTTGAACATTTTTTTCTGACATCCGTGCTGATAGGGATATACAATAGAATAGACACCATGCTTAAGCTTTTTAGTTTTTATTTTTACGACAAGCTTTGGCTTCACAATAGATTTTGGTATTCCTCGGCAATTAGCCATATTTTATTTAAGAGTGGAATGATATACGATGTTTTCCAAACATCACAAAAAATGGCGCAATTCACAGAATGCAACTTGTCCAAAATCTTAGTCATACTTTAAATTGTCCAATCTTTTTGAAACGATAGTGCTGTTCAATAATGCAATTGATATTGATTGATTAGAGTTAATTTTGAAGGCTTATGACTAACAAAGCCTATGTAGGTCCACGCCGTATAGACCCCAATATAACAGATATATTCGTTATTTTTAAGATATTAACAGAATTTTTAACGGATTTTATTTTTTGAAAATTTCCAAGTTCCTTATAAATGGTGGAGGGTATTCAAAGTTAAGAAAGTTCAGAATTTCTGTGTTTAATATCCTTTTGCTTAACCAGGCATCAGTCATTACAATGATATAATGTTCAAGGCTAATTGTATAAGTTAGATACTTTGTCCCTCAACTTCCCTTGCTCGATCAATCACGGATGCTGATTGGTGCACTGACATCTCCTCTACAACTCCCTGGCGGAGACCGTAGTAAGCGGATCGTCGCTGGACGTTGGTTGTTGTCGGTAACCTCACCTTGTTACACATGTTCTCATTGGAAGTAGTTACATATGTAGCAGTAGACGACATGAGACCCTCAGCGGTCACTCAGAACCATTGCGTTCACTTGTCATTAGTCTTTGAAGCAATACCCATCAAAGTCACTGTCGCCAACAGAATATTGAAAAGAGGTAAACTTATTGTTGTAAAAACATTACAAAAGCAATTCAAAAAAAAAAAAAAAACAGCACATTTAGCAAGAAAAGAAATTAATCCTAGTTGTTTTATTTTTCTTATTGTTTTTTTCCCCCATTGCTCTTCATAAACATTTTGATCGCATCGAGCCGGGTTTGCCAAGTTGTGAAGTTTGCCTGTTCATTAATTGCAGTTTTTTATTCTCTTTTGCAAAGGAATCAACTCAACAACACACATCCCCCTCATAAATCGTACCACCGCGTCAACATCATCATATTCATCATCATCAACATCAAAAAAGGTACGTAAGTTCAGTGAAAATTGTTATTGTGAGCTTAGAGTGCTATTTTTAAAAAAAGAAAAAACAAGTGAAAAGTGTTAGTTTTTCTTTGCTTCGCGTTACTTGTCGCCTCTGTTTTACTCTTATTCTCGGTTCCTTTAAATATACAGTCCACAACAATTTTATTTTGCTAAAAAAATCAATTAAAGATTCCTTTTAATCGAGATTTATTCACATTATTTTCCATTTTATTGCGAAATATTCAAATTTTTAATTCACATCTAATAAAATAATATTTTCGTTTACAAAATTTTTGAATTTAAAAAATATAAAATTTAGAAAAATAATTTGAATTTGGTAATTGTTAATAAAAAAATGTTTTTGGACTTTTTTAATTTTTGTCACCCTACATTCGCCATATTATATGTACTTTTACATATCAATCGTGTACATATCAATATTTGTCAGTCGAAAATACGTGCACCCTACACTCGGCACACACCGACAATTAATCAATTTTTTTATTTTTCAAATTGTTTCGAATTTTTTCAATATATTTGATAAATATCGCCATTTACGTATACTATAATTATTATTTGGATATTCATATAAAATTTTATTTCGTAATACATTATATTCTAAATAACCATTTGGTTCCTTTTTGATACTTTTTTTGGTAAATTTTGGAAAGTTTTTCAATCTTTTCTCCACCGAATTAGTTTATCTTTGGGATTTTAGAATATTTCGAAACACCGGACTTCAGGACTTGTGGTATAAGGTCAAGGATACTTATGAAAAGTATCTTGTTTATTTGATAACCGTTAAGGGTTTCTGTGGCGCGGTCATGCAATAGGTCGAATACTTCACAGTCAGGTACTGCCAATCCAAGCAATGTACCTTATAATAGTTTGCCACCCTTATCCAATATGATTTATCCAGATAATCAGAGTACTGCTGATATAACAGTTTCGAATTGGAGTTTACCGCCTTATGGTTCCGACACCATGCATAATCTTAATTTACCGCCGTGCGATATAGATGATTTCCACGGAGATTTTTTGTCGTGGCCCACATTCCGGGATCTATTTTCTGCAATGTTTATAAATAATTATCGATTAACTGATATTGAGAGGTTGTGTCATTTGATTAAGAAAACTCAAGGTGAGGCTAGTCAAATTGTGTCGAAGTTTCCACTCACACATAAAAGTTTTGTTCTGGCTTGGAAAGCTCTCAGAGATGTTAATGACAACAAAAGAATTCTAGTCAATAGTCATTTAAAAATTCTGTTCGATCTTCCATCGTTAGCTAATGAAACGAGTTCAGGTCTTAAGACTTTACAAAGAGGCAAAAACGGTTGTTTATCTGCCATGTCAGTCTATGACATTAGCACGGATCATTGGGATCCTATTTTAGTTTTATTAGTATTCATCGTCTGTTGTATGCCCGTTGTGTTGTATGCCCTAATGAAAATCATGCGCTCTACTCTTGTTATCGGTTTAAAAAGATGTCTTTCGAGCAGAAAATTACTGTTGTGAAAAAGCATAGCTTGTGTTTCAATTGTTTGTCAAGAGGTCATTCGGTCAGTAACTGTCCCAGTGCTCATAGTTGCTATGTGTGCCATGAAAACATCATACCCTTATCCATAAACCTAATCGATCGGCACTTACAAATAGCTCCTCTTCAAATGTAACCCCTACAGTCGGAGTCCCAAAAATTGCTTCCAATTCTTATCTAGATAATGTTGCCTCTGTATCCAATGGTGCTAATCTGACTGTAGTAAACCGTCAAGTGTTGCACACATCGCATCATTCGCGTGTCCTTCCAAGTACCGCCATGGTGAATATTGTTCACGAAGGAAACTCTTATCCAGTTCGAGCCCTCATTGACCCTGCATCTGAGGCTAGTTTTATAATTGAGCATCTTGAAAATAGATTGAA